CTAGCTTTTTAAAAATAAAGATTTTTTTTTTTCAAATAAAGATAATCCATAAATTATCCATCTGGTAATTTGGAGCACACTTGGCTACCTTTCAGAGCGCATTAGCGTGCCTGGACGCACTGGTTGAGAAACACTGGTCTAGCACGAAAGGCTACATATCACTCTAATGTTTAGAGATTACATGTTCATTTACAGCCATTGTTATATATAATGTTTGTTTGCCGACAAAGATCTCTTCCTTTTCTTTTGTAAACACTTATACAAACGGGTCTTCGTCTGCTGATTAAAAGCGATTATATATGCGTCAATCTTCAATAATTATATGATTGATGATAATATTTGCTGTATTGATCACTATGCCAAATAACCTATTGAATTAAAACATTGATGATGCTCGGAATGTGTCAGGTATATGATGATGAGGATGATGATGATATTTACAGTGTTCTTGTTGGTGGTGATGATTGAGTATTGATTAAGTTAAACCTGACTGTAATTGGCAGTTACCTGCCAAGAGTTAGAATTAATAACCGCAGATGATTAGGACGTCTTCTGTCTTAAAATCAGCCGCTCGCCCTACGCTTCCTTCCTGCTACGCCATCTTAAAATAAAAAATAATGATCTCTCCCAATGTGAATTCTCGCTTGACACTCATGCGGCAATGAGGTATGATTTGTTGCGAGGTTCCCTATGAATCAGTGAAGATTCAGATCGATATCCAATCAGGTTCTATTTCTGAAAGGAAGACACATAACGGTTGTTGCTTTTTTGTTGTTGTTGTTTTTTTTTTTATATTACTGGTGTGTGAAAGCGTTCGCCACTGACCTATAATCTACTGATTCATTAATTTAGATTAAGAGACCAATTGGCGAAAGAAAAGAAAAGTTAGAAAGAAAGATGTTAGGATGTTAAGAAAGAAGTGAGGAAGGTGATAACTTGTGATTTGCTTGAAAATCAGCGGAAAAGAAAGAATGTAAAATCAAGAAAGAAGACCTTCTATTATGACTTCCTCAGAAGATTTTAGAAGGAAAAAGAATTAGTTAACGAAAGAAGAATAGAAGAGAGAATGAAAGAAATGAAGAAAAGCATCAAAATTATGATTAAGTAAAAGAATTTAAAGTACAAAAGAAATAATGAAAGGAAGAATAAAGAAAAAAAGGAATAATAAGAAAGAAAGAAAGAAAGAAAGAAAGAAAGAAAGAAAGAAAGAAAGAGAAACAATGGAAGAGACAGGGAAAACATAGAAAAAAGAAAGAGAGAAAAAATAAATACAGAAAGAAAGAATGAAAAAGAAAGAATAACAAAAGAAAGAAAAGAATGAAGAAAAAGAAAGAAAGAAAAGAAGGAAGAAAAAGAAAGAAAGAAAAGAAGGAAGAAAAAGAATGAAATGCAGAAAATAAAGAAAGACAGAAAAAAGGAAAAAAAGAGAGAAACAAAAAAAAGAAAAACAGAAAGACAGCTAAAAGAAAGAAAGTAAGAAAGAAAGATGGAAAAAGAACGAAAGACAAAAAGTACAAAAGAAATAATGAAAGGAAGAAAAAAGAAAGAAAGAAAGAAAGAAGAGACAGAAAAAAGAAAAATATAAAAAGGAATGGCAGAAAAGAGAATGAACGAAAAAAAAAAAGAAAAAGAAAGAAAGAAAGAAAGAAAAAAAAAGAAAGAAAGAGTGAAAAACGAAAAAGAAAAGAGACAGAAAAAAGAAAAAATGAATAAAGAATGACAGACAAAATAAAGAAAGAAAGAAAGAAAAAAGAAACAAAGGGAAGAAGAAAGACAAAAAAGACCGAAAGGTAGAAAAAATAAAGACAGAAAAAAAAGAAATAAAAAGAGAGAAATAAAGAAAGAAAAACAGCAAAAAAAAGAAAAACAGAAAAAAAAAGAAAGAACGAAAAATAAAGACATAAGAAAAAAAGAAAGACAGATAGATAAATAAAGACAGAAAGAAAGAAAAATACAGAAAATGAAGTATAAGAAAAGAAAGAATGAAGAAAGCAAGACGCCGATTTCGATAAGATTTTTGCAAGAAATAAAATGGAACGAAAGGATAAAAAAAAGACAAGAAAAGAAGCAAAAAATGAAAAAGGAAAAGATAAGAAAGGCTTAGAAGAAAAAAGACAAAGAAACAAAGAAAGAAGATTGTAATTTCGTCAGAAAGACGAAAAATTGTAATTTGATCAACAAATTTTAGAAGTAAAGGAAAGTAATGAAAGAAAGAAGAAAAAGGAATAAAGAGAGGCTTTATACCGTAACTTACTGTAACATTCAGATAAAAAAATAAAACAAACATGAATGAAAGGAAAGAAAGAAAACACACCAAATATATGTCTAAAAGAGAGTAAATTAAAATGATGAAAGAAGATATCATTGGGTTTTGATCAGAACATTTGACAAGAAAATAAAATGATTGAAAGAAAGATGAAGTAACGGAGAGAAGTAAAGATAGGAAGCGTCAAAATGACAATTTAAATTATTTCAGTGGAGGGAAAAAACGCACGCCTTACATTGAGACTTGATTAAAATTTAATTTTGAAGAAAAGAAAATAACGAAAGAAAGAAGGAAATGAAAGAAAACAGAAGGAAAGGATGAGGGAAAGAAAAACTTCAGAGTTAGGATTTCAGCACAGAAATTCAAAACAAACAAGATAGATAGATAGATAGATAAAGAAAGAAAGAAAGAAAAAGATAGATAGATAGATAGATAGATAGATAGATAGATAGATAGATAGATAAATAAAGAAAGAAAGAAAGAAAGAAAGAAAGAAAGAAAGAAAGAAAGAAAGAAAGAAAGAAAGAAAGAAAAGGGGAGATAGATAAAGAAAGAAAGAAAAGAAAGAAAGAAAGAAAAAAAAAAAGATAGATAGATGAATAGATAGATAGATAGATAGATAGATAGATAGATAATAAAAGAAAGAAAAGAAAGAAAGAAAAAAAAAGAAAAAAGAAAGGAGATAGATAGATAAAAGAAAGAAAGAAAGAAAAAAAAAAGAAAGATAGATAATAGATAGATAGATAGATAGGTAGATAAAGATAAAGAAAGAAAGAAAGAAAGAAAGAAAGAAAGAAAAAGAAAGAAAGAAAGATAGATAGATAGATAGATAGATAGATAGATAGATAGATAGATAGATAGATAGATAAAGAAAGAAAGAAAGAAAGATAGATAGTGTTGAAGCTTGGATAAGCATGGAATAATAATAATACAACACTAAATGTACGTAAACAAAATGTATTGAAACAAGGAAAAGGTACACATTATTTACAGTTAGTTTTGGTATATTCTTGGGAAGACTGTTCCTGTAGAATGGGTTGACTTAATCGCAGTCGGGCAGAGTCTCTGGATTGCATCTCTTGTTACTTCCCCCTCGTCTTCCCGGTACCAACCCATATTTATATGGTCGGTACTCCACTTATGTAAATTAGGTGTATCGTACCACAACAGATAGATAGATAGATAGATAGATAGATAGATAGATAGATAGATAGAAAAAGAAAGAAAGAAAGAAAGAAAGAAAAAGAAAGGGAGATATAGATAGATAGATAGATAGATAGATAAAGAAAGAAAGAAAGAAAGAAAGAAAGAAAGAAAGAAAAAGATAGATAGATAGATAGATAGATAGATAGATAGATAAAGAAAGAAATATAGATAAAGAAAGAAAGAAAAAGAAAGAAAGAAAGAAAGAAAGAAAGAAAAAGAAAGAGAAAAGTAAGAAAAACAAAGTAGTAAATAGTTCATAATTGGTTTAGTTTTGGTTTGGTTTGGTTTGATTTACGACATACCAACCTCAATGGGTTATTTAATACCGACAAGATTTCTTATTCCGGGTAAAACTGCTTTTTTCAAAAATGTATTGCTGGTAATAATTGTTTCTTCAAACATTCATTGTTGGTAATAACCTTTTAAAAAGTATATTTCTGGTATTAAAATCAATTTTTACACTTTCATATTGCTCCGACCCCAGACTTGGCGTTAACTTTTTGCTCATAGCTGGGACCCTCAGGATCAAAGTGGACTTGGGAACACTAGCAATTAAGAGATGGTTCCACGCTCCTCAAAACCTCCTTATCTGTGGCCTTGCTTCTTGGACGTAGTTTATCGTCTTACCCGGGACGTGGATGTATTTTAACGTCATGCACGGAACAGTTCATAATTGGTAAAGAAAACTTAAATGACTGAGAATGAAAGAAAGATAATGATAGAAAGGAATTAGAAACAGAAAATAAAAGGGAAAATAGAGAAAAAACGAAATAAACATTTTCATAGATGAAAGAAAAGAAGAAAGAATGGTAAAGAAGAAAGGAAAAGGCGAAATATTATCAGGGCTTCTTCGAAAAAGACAAAGATAAGAAAATGCATTAAAAGTACTGAAAGAATAAAGAGAGGCTTACTTTGTAACGTTATGATGAAAAATAAAGCAAATATGAATGAAAGGAGAAAAGAAAACGCACCAAGTATTTGATTATCTAAAAGAGAATAAATAAAAATCATGGAATAAAATGTCATTTTTACTGAAGGTACTGCAGAATGAAAGAATAGCAGAAAAAAAAAGAATGAAATTGCAAACGTTTATATGATTGACAAAAGTAAACTCAGTTTATAGGTAAGTTAAAAGAAGGAAAAGAGTAGATAAGTGAAAAAGAAAATCTAAATTATCGATTATATTATTAATGGTAAAAATGATTGAGAAACAAAGAATATACGAATGAATAAAGTAATGAAGGCGAAATTAAATAAAGGAGAAAAAATTAATGAAGGAGGGAAAACGAAAGAAAACTTCGGACGGAGAATTATGAGTTGGAAAAAAGAAAACAAAAGAAAAATAACTGAGTAAGTAAAGAATACGACATATCACGGGTGAGAAATTTAAAAAAAATGTAAATTGTTAAGAGAGAAGAAAAATGAAATGGTTGAAAAATGAAAGAAAGAAATGAAAGAGAAGTTAAATGGCTGAGAAAGAAAAAGAAAAATAAAGAATAAATTTAAAAAAGGGAAACAAAAGAAAATGTCAATAATTGAGAAAGAAAGAAAGAAAGAAAGAAAGAAAGAACGAATAAGAATGAAGAGGATTCTGAAAGAAGAATGGGAACTTAAATAATTGGGAAAGTAAGAAAGAAAGAAAGAATAAATGAGAATTGATGGGATTGTGAAAGGAGAATGTAATAATTGGGACAGAAAAAAGAAAGAAAGAAAGAAAGAAACAAACAAACAAACAAACAAACAAACAAACAAACATAGAAAGAAAGAAATAAAGACAGACAGAAAGAAAGAAAGATAGAAAGAAATAAAGACAGACAGAAAGAAAGAAATAAAGACAGAAAGAAAGAAAGAAAGAAAGAAAGAAAGAAAAAAAGAAAGAAAGAAAGAAAGAATAAATGAGAATTGATAGGATTGTGAAAGGAGAAGAAAGTAAACTCAAATAATTGGGAAATAAATAAAGTAAAAAAGAACGAGAATTGATAGGATAATGAAAGAATAAAAATGGACACTCAAATAATTGAGAAAGAAACAAGAAAGAAAGATTAAATGAGAAGTGAATAAGAAATTTAATGGTTGAGAAAGGAGGAAGAAAAATAACTGTACAAGTCAAAGGAATGTTAAATGATTGCAAAAGAAAGAAAGATAGAAAGAAAGAAAGAAAGAAAGAAAGATAAAAATAAAAATAGAAGTACATAAAGAAAGAAATAAACAAAGAAAAAAGAAATATTGAAAGAAAGAAACAAAGATATATAGATAGATAGACAGACAGAAAGAAAGAAAGAAAGAAAGAAAAGAAGAAAGGAAGAACGATAGAGGACGAAAGAAACTAAGACTGCCAACGGAATCTTAAATTTTTGTAAATGAACGATAAAAAAATGAGATATGCATAGAAAATATTATGAATGATAACGATAACAAAAAAATGGGGAATGTAAAAAAAAAATATGGCCGCTGGTAAAAAAAAAAACGAAAAAAAAAGAAAAACCAAACCGTAAGAGAATTCGGAATAGAAATAATTGAATGAATGAAGCGAGGATATCGAAAGAAAATTAAAAGTGATGGAAATTCACACAGGGAGCTCGACATTTAAACGTGTTGCACGGGTGGCGAAGCATGACGTTGTTAATTATTATCAAGGAAACCACATTTTTCAACAAAGAAACGGAAGTAAAGAAATTAGCAAGAAAGTTACACTGAAAAGGAGGCGGTAAAACGGAAGAAAAAACGGAGACAAAAACGGAATCGTGGATTAAAGGAAGCCAAATTCCTTCGTCGTCTGATTCTGTCTGGTAGGAAAAGGTGATGGCTGATATAATTAATCACAATGTCTAACCTATTTTCGCATTCAATCGCCAGGTTCTTGTATACAATGCTATAGCCATTCCTTTTCAATGGTAATCATTCGACGCTCGCTCGCCCTTTTGTTTTTGTTTTTCTTTTATTTTCGATGTTTCGTTTTTTTTTTGTTTTTTGTCTTTATTCTTACGACGACAGCTAGCTTTCTTTTTATTTGCTTTGTAAGACTTCAGCGTTTCAGGCTTTTTGCCATCTTTGAGACACGTGACATCAGCACAGAAAAGGTGAGAAATGCGAAGAAAACCATTTCCGAGTAATAGACACCAAATTTATGAATGAACGTTAAAAACAATAGAATTGGGTTTGCTGCACGAATTCTGCATTCGTATAGAGTAAACAAACACAGCCACCAAACTGTCTACATATATATTAATGTTGTCTCTGTGTGCACGCGTGTGTGTAGAGATAGATATATAGTTAGAGAGAGAGAGGGGGGAGGGCAGAAGAAAAGGGAGAGTGTGACCGAGAATTGTATTTAACAGAACCATTACTGCGCCATAGACATAAATAATAAAACGTGGGCGAGTAGATTTCGGGGTTGATATTTGGTAACGCTCACACAGTAGCTTCTACGCTACATTTTGAAGCGAAGTTATAAAACATTAAGATAGCCACAACTGAAAATATTCTAAGTTTAATCAAATATACACTTTACGACAAGGAGTTTAGAGACACCCACTGCTTTTTGAAAAAGCATATAAAAATAAAGGATGCGCGCCTTTTCAAGATTTATTTACTAGCGCACTTCAGCCTCGAGAGATTTTTTTCTTCCTGAAGGCTGTTATAATAGTTATACATTATTATTATTATTATTATTATTATTATTATTATTATTATTATTATTTTCTTTGATTTCTGGCGTTTACACATTTCTTTTTCTTCCCGCCCAGGGACTTAAGGTTAGAAATGGCACCATGACACTTTCCACTGACAAAAAAAAAATTACATACATAAAACCCTTTGTAAAGTGTGGGCTGTACTTGTCAGAACAATTTTTTGTATCTCCTTGAGGCATGGACTTCCAGGAATCCCTTCAATTAGTCTACTGAAATCTTTTCCAACCAGTCCTAGGGCTCCAACTACAAACAGGGATTGTTGATGTTCCCATATACATTTTCGAGATTTCTATTTCAAGGTCCTTGTATTTTGACAGCTTTTTGAATATCTTCAAAGATACATTGCAGTCAGCAGGGACTGCCATATCAATAAGGAGGCATCGTTTTTGTTTGTGGTCTTTAATAACAATTTATTATTATTATTATTATTATCAATGATAATTTTATTATTATTTTTATTATTATTATCAATGATAATTTTATTATTATAATCATTGTGACGTACGGTAGCCGTTAATAATTATGTATAACTCAAGACTTCAATGTTAATAATTATGTATAACTCAAGACTTCAATGTTAATAATTATGTATAACTCAAGACTTCAATGTTAATAATTATGTATAACTCAAGACTTCAATGTTAATAATTATGTATAACTCAAGACTTCAATGTTAATAATTATGTATAACTCAAGACTTCAATGTTAATAATTATGTATAACTCAAGACTTCAATGTTAATAATTATGTATAACTCAAGACTTCAATGTTAATAATTATGTATAACTCAAGACTTCAATGTTAATAATTATGTATAACTCAAGACTTCAATGTTAATAATTATGTATAACTCAAGACTTCAATGTTAATAATTATGTATAACTCAAGACTTCAATGTTAAGCAAAACAGTATTTAATTACAAGTGCAAATAAATGCTTAACAAGAATAAAGAAGTAAAAGTCAACCAAAGATAAGTAACCATTTCAGTGACTAATTTGTTAGTAGCGCGGCTCGGCTTAACGTCCGGTAAATCCTAAATCAAAACCCAAATCATGAATACACAATAATTCATACGAATTCGACTGAATAGTTCTACTCAATAGTCACAATATTGACACCGTTATGGATGACGTTATTTTTATTATATATAAAAATAAATATATATATATATATATATATATATATATATATATATATATATATATATATATATATATATATATATATATATATATATATATATATATATATATATATATATATATATATATAATAAGGTCTACTAGCAATACCCATTCCAGGTATATATACCTCGGTGTCAGTAATTTTTCCCTATATGACAATTATTAATTAATAAAATAATTTATTATTATTTTTTATTATCATTACTGATAAATTTATTATTATTATTTTATTATTTTATTATTTTATTTTATTTATCAGAAATGGCATCATTACATTTTTCACTGGTCATTTTTTATAAAAACAACAACAACAAAAAAACAATTTAAAATTACGCACATTTTATATAGATAAATCTCTTTGTAATGTGTACGGAATTGCAAGTGTTTTTGTTTTTTTTTTATAATTCTTTAAGACATGGGCTACCAGGGATCCCTTCAATGAGTCTATTGAAACTTTTTTTTCAATCAAGACGAAGGCTAATTACAATTTATAATAATAATAATAATAATAATAATAATATCTATATATGTAAAACAGAGGATGTCTGGGTGTCTGTCTGTCTGTGTGAAAAATATTCACTCCAGATCCATCCAACCAATTTTGCCTAAACTTGGTACATACATTGTACAATGTAAGAAATAGGTTCTTAGCGTAAAAAATCGATATTTTAAAAAAAATCAATAATCGATAAAGCCGACAAAAAATCGATAAATTCAACATTTTCCATCCGATTTTGTTCAAACTCGGTATGTAGGTTACTTACATCATAATGAGCTCAATGATTCTTCATTTCTCCCTCTACGCCACTACGTTTAACGAAAGTCCACGAAAAACAAAAGATCGATTTCAACACAAATCGATTTCAACACAAATTTTAAACTAAAATCTCCCTCAATTTTCAAGAAATCTAATACAAACTTCCCTCAGTTGTAGCCAACAACAAATTGATTGTTTAACAGTGATTTAACTTGATAATTGAGTCCATCCATATAATGAAAACCTGCATAAATAGTGAAAAATGTTACTTTTTTTTTCTTATTTTTCGTTGATCTTTCAACTTATTTTGATCAACGTTAAGAATTGCTTTATAACTTATATAATATAATTATAAAATTAATTAAATATAAAATTATATAATTATAAATGCGTTTACATCCCCGGTAGGACACTGACAAATTGAATTTCAAAAACTCCAAAATAATTGTGGTCTGAAGTGGGTCTTCATGTTGCCTGTTTTATCTTTTCATGTCATCGTCTAACTTCGATTAAATAAATACCGACTACTTCTGTTATATCAGTAACTGCATTAATTCAAAATGTTTTTTTTTTAATGGAAGTACTTTAAAGTAATTGAAAAAGTTAGACTCTTACATCTAAACATGATGCTGTTTTTGCTGCATTCTAATTGAACTCTTTTTTCTCATTGATCAACTGGGTATGGCTGCTAGTTAATAATAATAATAATAATAATAGTAATAATAATAATAGTTAAACATTGAGTCATTTTTCTTTCTCTCATCTTCACTCACGCTCTTCTCTACATAATGATAAACTATTGAAAAGTTGCGTCAATCATTTTGTTTAATAATAATAATAATAATAACAAGAACAACGCCAACAACAAAATTAACCCATTGCTGGATAAAGTTTCCTTAAAATTTCAGCTCTTTTTGCCTCAGGTATCTTGCTAGCTAATGGGAATTTAAGCAGTTGGGGATTTTCAGATTTAGATATCAGCCTCTCAACGAATGGATGCCCTGAACTAAGGGTTAAATACTTTGACTATTCAGCGTCAGTAGGACTTAATTAACCAAAGATGTTTTGTAACTTTCTAATTATTAAATCCAGAAGTTGGCCCAAAATATTGTTCTTTAATGTACGTATTAAAATCATTCATGTGATGTTTCGCATTACTAGAGAAAGCATTTAATTGAGCCATGAATTCTCTGTTTCTGTTAGAGCCTAATTTTTGAAAGGGGTTTGAATAGGTGTGACTGTGTTTATGCTATAAAGTAAGAGAATATAATAAAGAATTTAAAAAAAAATAATAAAGGCAATCACGATAGTAAAAACTGCTTGGAATTAAAATTCGATTTTGTTTCTTTAGTTTAAAATGTCAATAACAATCCTATCACTGGTATTTTCTTTATTCCTATATACTGTTTGTTTTGTCTCGCTTTAAGCGATCGAAAATAGTATGATTTACGAGGTGTCAAACCAGTCAAAAATAGAGACTTTTGAAAAATTGTTATTTAAAAAAGAAAACAGACAAAGAATTGTTACTTTTTTCAGTCTAAGAACTTCTCCTGAAGAGCTTTCTAATTTTTTTTTTAAAGCAAACTACTGGGTGGTCTGAAAGTCTTGTCACCCATCTATAATATAATTTTCTATTTCAGATGACTGACACGGGCTCTTCCACGTAAATGACGGTTTTCATACAAACAAGCTTGATATGTGACAGCGTCAGTGAAAGCGATTAAACTGAATCCATTACAGGTGCTTTGTATTAATTTACTACTTGTTTTTCTATGATTATCCTTACTTTTTGGTAGGGGGTGACAGGACTTTCGGACCACACTGTATAATAAACACTAGCAACGACTTATCACTATTTTACGTGCTACCATTTTTTTTTTTACAATGAAATGATTGTAAAAACATTGGTAGCACGTAAATAGTGATAAGTCGTACCCTAAGTAAGGCAATAA